GCAATCCGAGAGAGAGTGAGGAGCATGTCACAGTTCCTTTTATAACAGTCTTGGAGGTCATACACTGCCACTTCCTCTATATGCTATTTGTTAGGAATGGGTCATTAATCCCAGCTTGCACTCAAGGGGAGGGGAGTAGGCTCCACCTCTCAAAGGGAGGAATATTTAAAAATTGTGAATGTATTTTAAAATCAGTGTGCATGCACCATTTATTTGCCATCACTGTCAGGTGTCACCTTGGAAGGTTCAGAAATGACCTTGAAGTGGTGTAGGAATGCCTGGGTCAGGGCCCTGGGAAGTGGCTCCAAGAGGAGGAGCTGGGGTCCAGACAGAGGAGCAGGAGAGGTGGCAGTGGGTTTTCTGCCTAGGCATATGTCAGAGTTCTGCAGAGTTGTCGCTAGCTAGCTCTGTCTTGTCAGCCTTAGGCTGGGGGTACCGAGGGGGTGGGTAAGGTCCACTCTAGCACTTCCATTAGCGCAGATGGAGGCTTGTCTCTCTCCCCACCAGGCTCCCGCGGATGGCAGCTGGCACCCAGCCAGGTGTGGGGTGGGCCGTCTTGAGACCGCCGCAGCTGATGCCATGGTAACCTGCCCTGGGTTGGCTCTGCCTCCGGTGCCCTGGGCAGTCTCCCCAGCTCCTAAGCGGGAACTGCTTGGCCTTGGCATCTAGGCCTGGACTTGCCGGCTTTGAGGCAGCCTCCTGTCTGCATCTGGAGCCAGGCAGTTCAGGGTTTGTGAGATGCATTATTGATATGGCGATGTAGTTTCTGAAACCGCAATTGGCCTGATGTGACTGAGTAATGGGGACAGCAGACTGGAATGTCAGAAATTGGGCCATATCGGAAAATCCAGGCCATCCCCCGGCCTGTGACTGGTGGGCCTGTCGAGTGAGAGGGCCTGAGCTGGGTAGGCTGCCTACGCTGAGGGGGCTGGCTAAGACACCCGAAGCAAAATTCCCCCAAGGTCATAGTGTGGTTTCTCCAGAAGATCCTGACTTCCTGTCACCTTATTTTGGGGCCAGTGCCTGGCTGCTCAGTGAGGCATTTGCACATGCTGCTCAGGAACCTGGCTTTGTGGGAATCTGCACGCCTGACCTTTGGGAGACTCTCTCACTCTGCCCTTGGACTCGGGTTTGATGTCACTTGGTCTCTTGATTCCCAGGTCCCCACCGAAGCCAGACTCTTGAAGACTTAAGTGCCCCACATTTGCTAAGCCCCTAGGGGATAACACATTTCTTCTTACCCCTCTGAGGTTTTTCTTTACACATGTGTGCGCGTGTGCTCGTACACGCACAGACACACACACAGAAAAACCAAAGCTAGAGAAACTTTTTCCCTGATTATTTTTCCTTTTCCAGACAGGGACATCGATATATTTGAATCATAGGCCAGAAGTAATTAAAAAGCACATAACTAGTCATATTAAAATGCAGTTGTTTTACTTAATTGATTTTGCCGCCAGACCCAGAGGGGGGAAAAAAGGAACGGGAAAGAAAACCTCAGAAAGGCAGACGAGTTTCTGCGAGTGACTGGAGGCAGCTGAGGGCCCTGCTTGAACCTAATTGCTGCAAATGCTGTAGTTTGTTTCTGCTAATGGTTTCTACTGAAAGGGCTGGGGGCTGGGGGATGGGGCCTGATTGTTGGGGGGTGGCGTTTGTTTCAGCTGCATGGGGGGTATAATTCTGCTTTCGGGACAGGGTCTATTTTTCCTTACCATCTATCAGCATAGAGTACTTCCACTGAACACTTTGAATCAAGGTTCCATTTAGAGATACTTTATTCATATTTAATTACAGGCTGCAGCACCAATCTTTAATTACCTTTTTTATAAGCCAGCTAGGAACATCCACGAGCAATCAATTATTGTGTGTGTATGTGTGTGTGCTCGCTTAAGCACAGGAGGGTGTGGGCGTGTGACTTGCTTCCTGATGGAGAGGGACGGGATGGCTGCAGGGGCGCTGGGGGGTGGTAGGGTGGGCACCTGCCTGGCAGGTTCCCTGTGCCCCGTGAGTGGTGCATCCTCATTTCCCATGCCTCTCTTGGCTTCCACTGGCACAACTGGGGATGTGGGCAAGTCCTCGCAGCTGGGTCTTGTTCAGGATGCTGAGTTGCTTGTTGGTCTTGGGTGGTGTTTTAGGGCCCCCTTGATCCCCTGGTGGGGGCAGGGAATTGTGGGAGGCCCCCTCCTGTCCCCTGGGGGTATGGCGGGCCAGGCTTTCTTTCAGCCTGGAGATTAGGATCTGCTTATCTTGGCCCTTTCCTTCCCCCCCTCCCTGTGGGGTGCTCTTGGCAGCTGCTCTTGCCACATGGCCCTAGCGATGCCATGTCACTCTTCAGTTGCAGTGACTCTGCAGTGCCCCTGCAATGACACTGGTTTGAAGACTGATTGTCCTTCTCAGACAGCAAGCAGATGTTCCTGGGAGCCAGGCAGAGACTTGGAGTTGGGAGTGAGGTCAGATGACCCCCAAGTCCCTTTGCAGCAGGAAGATTGGGCTCGTCTAGCTACCTGGAGGATGAGGGTCTGAATTCACAGCTTTGCCCCAGAAAACCTTCTCCTTACTGCTCCTTCAGGAAATACCAGAGGGTTTCCAGAGGGACTTGGTGTTGATCTCATTATGTAACAGCCGCGAACATTGCTGGAGCTCTACCTTCCCTTCTGTTCCTGGATCCCTGTCCCAGCAAGAGGGTGGGGAGGGGACGGAACTCACTCTCGCTGGGTCTTTTGGGGGTGCTGGGCTGCTTCCGTTTATCCTAGCTGGGGCCAAAGAACACATTGTATCAGTCAGAGCCTCTTCAGTTGTGTGTGACGGAAAACTTAAACTGACTTGAGCAAATAAAGGAATTATGGGGTGGGTAGTGGGTACTCAGGCATGGCTAGATCAAGAGGCTCAGACACTGTGACCAGGATTCACTCCCTCTGTCTCTTGGCTCTGCTTTCTTCTTTGTTGCTACTATGTGACCCTCAGCAGCCCGACTCCAGGCTTATATTTTTATGTTCAAGTTCAACAGAAAGAAAGCATCTCTTCTGTAGTTCAAACAAAAGTCAAACAATTGAGTCTGATTGGACCAGTTGAGTCATGTGTCATCTCTAAACCAATCCATGTGGCCAGGGGTCTTCAGGGTTCTGATTGGCCAGGCCAAGGTCCCACACCCACCTCGGAGTAGCAGGTGGAGTCTGCCTAGGTAAATCCCATCTGTGACCTGTGCTTTTACTACTTTGGAAAGTTATACATTTGAGGTCTTCAGATTAGTAGGAGTGTGAGATGGGAGCAGGAAGGTCTAGGCATTTCAAAGGGAAGAGAAAGTTGATTTAATTCTTCTCCAGTGGAGAGAATAGTGGATCCAGTCATTCAACGAATATTTGTTTGGTGCCGACTAGTTCTAACCCCGTTCTAGGTGCAGGGAGTTCAGCAGTGAACAGAACAGACAAAAACCCCTGCCCGCTTGGACCCGATGTTCTAATGGGGTTTATAGGGGTGATGGTCCTGGTGTTCTCCCATCCCAAGCCCGGGCCATGATAGGGTTCTTGTGCTGAGAGTGCCAAGGCGATTGGGGTGGATGACGAAGGAAGAATCTTGCCATTAGGGAGCCTTGAACTCAGGGAGGAGGGAAAGACAAGTGTGTTGTGGGGGAGCAGGGAGCACCAGGCATGGGAGGGGTTCCAGTAAGAATCCAGCGAGAAGGACGCAGGACAGGAAGCCACACCCACCTCTTGTGACGGAGGAGCGCAGGCCCTTCCCCATGTGGCCTGGGCCTTTGATCTGGGCAGGATGTTTGGTAAATGGGATGGAGATTAGTGAAAGCTCCAAAAACAATGACAGGGCTGGAAGGACTGATTTATGAGGTGAGATTAGCAAGGTGATGGTGCAGCCTGGCAGACAGGGTGGGATGGTGGCTGTGGGGGTCTTCAGATATCCAAGGAGAGGGGCTGTAGGGCAGGGCAGAGGGGCTACCGTGGAAGTGGGGACCAAGGGAGGAGGGGCACGGACTGAACAGGCCTCAGAGTGTGAGAGCCTGGGGGTGGGGGTGGCGGGAGGGAGGCATGGCACTGTTATATCCGCACACATCTGTGCGTGTGCATGTGAGACTGTCTGCACTTTCCACAGTTGTGAGGCTGTACAGGGGCTTAAAGAAATGGAGAGGATTAGGATTTCAGCCATTGTTGAAAAGGGCCGTTGGGGGCTCCTTCCCATCTGGTAAAATATTCATATCTGGACCGTGTAGGTAGTTGTGACCACTCAAGTCAGAAAGAATTTTTTCTTCAGGAGAATTGGTTTGGCATTTCTAAGAGGGAAGGAGGGAGGAGGAGAAGGAAGAGTAAGAAATATATTTTCCACTTCATAGAAAGAGATTATGAGGCACCGAGAGGGTAGGGAAGGGTCTCTTGCTGTCCCCTTTGGCTGGCACTGCAGGTGAGGACCAAAAGCAAGGCTCTGGCTTGCAACCCTGGGATCACTCAGAGTGGCCGGGCCGTGGTGGGCTCGGGGACCCATGCTGAGGCTGCTGCTTGGGCAGGAACAAGGGGCAGGTTGTTGGGTCTGGAGTCTCTGTCCAGGGCTCCTTGAGCTTTCCCAGTTGGTGGGATTGAAGCATCTTCCGTCTGATCCCTGTCCTGGGCTGCCATGGGCCCATGTTCTGTAAAGTCTGGATTGTCATGTAGGAGTGCCCAGGGGGCACAATGGTGCACAATTAAATGGTTGGATGATACTCAGTTCTGAGCACTCCAGATAGCACTCTCTGGCTTTTGATGGGGTGCCCCCGTGCACATGTATGAGGACACGCCCTCTACAGGACTCTTCTGTCCCCCTTTCTCTATATGCCTGGTGCGAATCTCCATGGCAGCCAAGGGCCCAGGTGAGGCCCTCGGTTGGTGCACAACTGATAGAGCAGAAATCTGTCGTGAGGGCAGCGGGCAGCCCTGTCTCTGGCCTGTCTTCCTGGACCCCTCTTGCTGGATTGGGTCATCTTCTCAACTGCTCTGTCCTCCCTCCACTCCCGGCAGATCCATGATTTGTTCATGAGCTTCGACGACACCCCTCTGGGGGCAGCCTCCCTGGCCCAGGTCCACAAGGCGGTGCTGCGTGACGGGCGGACAGTGGCCGTGAAGGTCCAGCACCCAAAGGTGCAGTCTCAGAGCTCGAAGGACATTCTCCTGATGGAGGTGAGAGAGAGAGCCCTTTCTTCCTTTGTCCTCAGCCTACATTGCCCCTGATCCTGGCAGCCCCAGTGACGCTGGTTCAGGCTGGTGGCTGGAGGGTGGCCCTTTGAGCAGCAGAGTGGGAGAGGAGGGATCGTGGCAACTCTGATCACTAGACCCCGTGGCGGGGTTGTCACTTCTTGTCCCTGGAAACTGATGGTCTCAGAACGCTCTGAGCAGCTGCTGGGGCTGAGGGGGAGGGGACATCACGGGGATGTTGCAGAAATGAGATGAATCAAACGTGATTTCCGTGGGGGTATGCAAAGTTACATCTTAACTTGTTAAATTATAACAAAAGGGAGTATGTGGTCTACAGGGATGTAAAAATGACTTGCAGATCACATAGAAATATTTTTGCAGATTTTAAGTTTGCTTATCTGATAGTTGTTTTGACTATACTTACCTGCCTGAAAAGGGCCATAGGAAATGCCCTAGTGGATTTTTCTAGCTCCATGCTCAGAACAAGGGAGAAAGAGGGCGAGCCGGGCATTGCTTGGGGCAGTAGCCAGCACCGCACACGGGGAGGTCAGCAACCTGTTTAACATGCTAGCATGTCCCTCTCTTTCCTTTTCTCTTTCCCTGTCCTTTGTTCCCTTTCCTCACTCTGGAATCATAGTTTATTCTTTGAACTCACTTTAACCAAACTTAACACATATATGGAGAGTTTCTTCTGCTCTAGGCACTAGGTGGGTGCTGGGGACATGTGAGTGAGGGAGCTCCATCTTCATCTCACAGAGCTCCCCATTTGGTAAAGGAGACAGGTATGTCAACAGCCACAGATGGAGGACGTGAGCTCTGTCAAAAGGGTGTTTGCAGAGTGCCATGGACCACTGTGCCTGGATGGATGGGGGGTGCCCAGGGGGCTGCAGCGAGGAGGTGACTCTTGAGATAGCCAGGCAGGGGAAGGACAGCCCAGCATGTGTGAAGGCCCGAGTCCTAGAGAACAGGGTGTGCTCGGGGGACTTCATCTGGTTCAGATGGTACGAGCTGGCAGTGGCTGGAGATGAGGCTGGGAAGGCAGGCAGGACAGAACCAGGAGGGCCTTCTGTTCCAGCTGAGGTGTAGAACGGTATACGCAGGCAATGCTCAGTACATATTTGTGGACCTGAGTAAATCTGATTTTCTCCTGTAGTCAGTGGGAAATCATTTAAGAATTTTAATCAGGGGAGTGTCATGATCAGATGTGCATTAGAAATAAAAATCTGTTGGCAGTCTGGAAGATGTATCGGAAGGCAGACAGACTCTAGCCAGGAGACTAATTGAGTGGCTGCAGCATTGGTCCGAGAGAGAAACAATGATGTGAAGCAAGGCAGTGCAGTGGGGGTGGAGTCATCAGGACCATGTGACCTGCTTTACATGGGGTGGGGGCAAGTGGTGTCATGAACGAGGAGGAAACTGAAGCACCTTAGGTTTCTGGCTTAAATGATTAAGTGTGGGTGCCTTTCACCATGTACACTAGTGTTCCCTTATTGGTGCAGGACACATTCTAAGACTCCCGGAGGATGTCTCAAACCTTGAATAGTGCTGAACCTTGTACATACTGTTTTTTCTTATATGTACATACCTATGATAAAGTTTAATTTATAAATTATGCACAGCAAGAGATTAACAACAGTAACCAATAGCAAAATAGAACAATATGCTATAATAAAAGTAACATGGGCTGGCCATGGTGGCTCACGCCTATAATCCTGGCACTTTAGAAGGCCAAGGTGGTAGAATGACTTGAGGCCAGGAGTTTGAGATCAGCTTGAGCAAGAGTGAGACCCTGTTTCTACAAAAAATGGAAAAATTAACTGGGCGTGGTGGTACGTGCCTGTAGTCCCAGCTACTCGGGAGGCTGAAGCAGGAGGATCACTTGAGCCCAGGAGTTTGAGGTTACAGTGAGCTATCAAGACACCACTGCACTCTAGCCTGGGCAACAGAGGGAGACTCTGTCTCAAAAAAAAAAAAAAAAAAAAATTGCAAATGTGGTGTCTCTGTCTCTCTCTTTCTCTCTCTCTCTGTCTCAAAATATTGTACTCAGCTATTTTCAGGCCATAGTTGACTGTAGGTGACTGAAACCTAGGAAAGCAAAACCCTGGCTATGGGTGGACTACCAGACAAGGTTCTAAGACTACTATATCAGACAAGGTTCAGTCAGGGAAAAAGAAATTGCTCTAGGTATTTCACACAGAGGGAATTTAAAACAGAAAATTGGGTTTATAAGAGACAGAATTGCTGAGAAGCCAGATGGGGTGGTGAGACAGTCACCAACACAGGAAGCCACTGCCATTCTCAAGGTGGAGAGACAAAGAGGCGATGTGGTTCTCTGGAGCCCAGGAGCTGGGACCACCTGGCAGAGGCTGGGACTGTGGAGAGCTTGTCCACTGGGAGCCAGGTCACAGATGGGGGGCTTGTCGCCTGGGAGTTGGAGCCACAGATGCTGTTTGAGGCAGAGGCTTTTTCACCTTCTCCTGTCCCCCGATATTCCATCAGGGTTGCCCACTGGCCAAACGTCGCTGGAAGCAAATTAGCAAGGGAGCCTGGAAAATGTAGGTTCTCACGAGAGTAAGGGGGTTGGGGTGGATCTCAGAGCAAAGAGACATGGGTATTGGTGCAAGCATGGGGGTAAGATACTGCTGTCGATAGTTTTGGATAAGGCTTTCCGTGTCCACCTGGAGTCCAGGCTGGAATACAGATTCAGGACTTAGAGCAAAGATACTCATGGCAGCTGAATCTGGAGGAGTAGTTGAGATCACTTAGAGAAGGTTTGTAGGGTTATAAAAGAAGAGAGAGGGCAAGGAAAAAAACCATGAGGAACATTGCTGTTTTAGGAATGAGTCCACAGGGATAAATTCATGACTAAGAAGGCATGGTCAGAGAGGCTGGAGAATAACCCGGATTGAGTCATGCTGCTACATACAGTGAGAAAAAATTCAAGAAGAGAGCACTGTTATCAGTTATCTAATGCTGCATAATGACTCACCTTAAAACTTGGTGGCTTAAAACAAGTCATGAGTTTTGCTTGTGAATCTGCAGTTCGGCCAGGTCTTGGCAGAGAAACTCACCTGTTTTATGCAGCTCTAGCTGGGGTAGCTTGACTAGGGGCTGGAGGAGCCACTTCCAAGGTGGCTCATTCCCGTGGGTGGCAAGTTGGTGCTGGCTGTTGTCTGGGACCTCAACTGGGGCTGTGGGCCAGGGCCTTAGTTTCTCTCCGTGTCAGCTTCTACATGGCTGTTTGGGCTTCCTCACAGCATGGTGGCTGGGTTTTAAGAGCAAGTGTCCCAAAAGAGTAAGGCTGAAAGTACCTCACAGTTTTATGACCCAGCTTCGGAGGGCATATGGGATTACTTCTTCCTTACTCTATTGGATGAAGCAGTCACAAAGGCCCCTTAGTTCAGGGGTGGGGATGTAGACTCTCTCTTAATGGGAGAGTGGCAAGGTTCTAGAAGCTATCAGAATGGGAGATATTATTGCAGCCATTTTGGAAAATAGAATCTACCGGAATTACTCAACATTGTCAAATGCGAGATCAAATCAGTAAAGTACTGAGAAGAGTATTTTGGATTTGGTGATTTAGCATTGTTAGGAAGAGCAGCTATAGTGGCCTGAGGGGGTGCAAGAGAATTAAGTCCCGAGGAAGTAGAGACCCTTGATGTAGAATATACTGTTTTTAAATGTTTAGCTGTGGAAGGCTGAGGAGAGTTAGGGTCGTGGTTAGAGCAGAGCATGGGATTAAGTGTTGGGGAGACTTGAGCAGGCTTGCAGCTTGAAGCGGGGGGATTGGGGATTCAGCAGAGAGAAGTAATTGCTAGATCAAATCCAGGAGGAGATTCATGAGATTGGGCACCAGGAGCACAGGTGGAAACATTAGCCTTTGATCAGCCTTGTTTTGAGCCCAGAGGAAGGTGGTAGGGCTGGGTGCAGAGGAGTGTGTGGGGCAGAGGGGAGAGGGGGAGGGAAAGTGGGCAGTGGAGTGTGTAGTGGCCTGATAGCCTCTATTTTTTCTCAGAAGTAGGAGGCAAGACCATCTGCTGAGAATGAGGGGGTAGAAGGTGGCATTGGAGGCTTGAGGTGGGTGAAGGTTTGGAACAGCTGCTGTGTGCAACGGAAGAGGGAGCTGGCTGGAGCGAGACGGCAGGATTGCTGGGTGACACTGGGCATCAACCTGGAAACTTGAGTTTTTGAGCACCTGTCGGGAGCTATGGAACAGCCATAGCTGGGAGAGAAGCGGGAGTCTCGGAGGATCACTGGGCTTCCTAATTCCCAGCAGCCACTCCTGGCTCAGGCAGGAACCTGTCTCTGCCCAGCAGTGCCATCAGGGCCCACTTGGGCTGGGAGGACAGCTGTCACTTTTTCTCTGCTCAGAGCCTCGCTGGCTCCCTAAGTAATGGTTGCTGTAAGGTCATAGCAATAATAGCAGTAATAATGATTTGGCATCTTCCTCCCTAAGATAAGCATCAGATGCTTTTCTTGGGAAGCACAGCCTGGCAGGCTGTGTGCAGAGTACAGAGTGGCTCCTTGGCAGTGGCTGAGGCAGTGCTGGGGCCAGGATCACAAGGCACAGCCGAGACCCACACTCACAGCCTTCAGGAAAACAGCCCCAACGACCATCAGCGTTAGCAGCAGCACTGGCTGGCACTGCCTTCTCACTGGGCTTGGTCTCTGGTGGAAAAAGTCCTGCCTGGGTCCTTCTCTGTTGCAAAAGCAAGAAGAGCCCAACTGGAAAGCTAATTTTGTTTGATATTTGAAATCAGTTGTTTTCTTTCCTGAGTCCAGACCTAAATGGTATCTTGGTTTTAGGAATGACAACCCCAGAAAGGTGCTCAGCCATTCTTGGCAGGAGGAGAATGTTTTCTAGGGGTCATTAGGGCTACATTAGCCACCAGAAACTTAAGAGGGGAGGCAAAGCTACTTTTCTGCATAGTCCTCTGTGCCTCCTTTCATGCCGGTTCCAGGTATTGTGTGCCCTCCTACTCTCT